CCCCCCCACACACACACACACACACACACACACCCAAACTACAAAAACAGCTCCTTTTAGTTTAAGAAACAATTAAACAAACACATGCACATTGCACCAGAAAAAAAAAATCCGAGGTTGTGGTTCTTATGTATTCACAAGAAGAAAAAAAATTCATAATCCACTTTAAATTTGTCAGATTTTTTTTGTAAGTGGCTGCATTGTTTTACTGTGTGTAAACAGAGAATAGCTTCGTGCTGTAAATAACAGTTTAGCCTACAGGCTCCTGAAGAGGTCCTAAAGTCCCCGTTCAGTCCAAAGCAGCAGCTTGCAGCACGGTGGAGCCCACAAGACAAGATTTTAAACAAAGATCCCATTTTGCGGCACATTGCAACCTCCCCTTATCGCATCGTGAGGGGTAGTCAGATTGTACTAAATTATGTCCAACCAAGGCCCCTTGGATCCGTGGATTAAGAGATTAAAGTGGACCACTGGGCAATGCATCCCCTTTACCCCCCCCTCATATTACTCGCATGATAATTGCCCAAACTGATTTGCACTTTCACAAAAGCTTGTAGGGACTCTTTGTAGCCGGAGCGGAGCAGACGCTGCAGCCCCTCAGAAATACAACTAATGCCGACTACATCAGACCGAGAAACAAATGCAGAGCTGAGGACAACAAATTACAGGCTGCGCTATTTTTGTTTTTCTCTCTTTGAGAAATAAAACTCCTAACGCCACATCAGCAAAGCCTCACTGTACACTGCATCCACACGATTCCGCTTGATGGCACAAAGTAAGAATACATATCATCGCCTTTAAAAGCCTCGTTTGGTCAGAGGCCTCCATTCAGCTGCTCTATATAATCAAAAGTCTATACTTTTACTGCGCGCAACATATTGATAAAACTTTATTGACAAAATATTGACAATTACATACTTCTTGGAAGTATACTTTGTGTTAAAATTGTAGCAAACTTAACACAAACACAAAAAGTATTTACATTCTGTAAAAGAGGGTTTAACAGAAACATTAACTTTTAGCATTTCTGTACATGGAATACGCTCAGTGCTTGGAGTTTTTTTCTTTTTTTTTTTTAACTCTCATTTGTTGCATTTAGTCCTTCGTGGCAACTTTCAGTGGAGGGTCAGTCCTGACAGAAGGCTGCATGGGGCCACAGCGACACATTTGTAAAGCTTTAGGTTAAAGGAATGTCCTGATACCTTCCCTTTAAGTACTGGATCTGTAGTCTGATTCACTTTTTAGAAAGGTTTTTTGTTTAAAATCGAAAGTCAATTTTTGTACTTTTTTTCTCAAAAAAAAAATAAATTGAAATAAAAACACTATCGCAGCACCGCTACTTCATATGTTTTCACAATCACGTTTACACGAGAATCATTAATTAAAGACTGCACACTTTGTAAAAAGGAAGAAGCACGACATCTCTGTTTGAAAATAGAGTTGAAAACATTTTTTTTTTTTTTTTTGAGAAAAACTTGTCAAATTAAAAACAACTACCAGGGGGAAAAACTATACCATGCAATTCAAGTTTTACAAAAGCAGTTTGGTGTTTTGGTATCTTGATCGGAAACGTTTTTTGTTTAAAAAAAAACCCAAAAACTTCTGAAGTGCAAACGTCCAATATGAATTGGAGAAAAAAAACGAAGTGGTGGTAGATGGGAGATTGTGGTGGTGGTTGGTGCGTGGAAGGGTTCAGGTCGGTGGACTGAGACACTCAACCTGGGTCCTTTGGATTGACAGACCCACGCGGTGACAGCAGTGCCACCGGTCGGGTTTCTCTCACCCTCAGCTGCCGATCTTCGGAGATCTGAAATGTGACATTGGCTTTTTACCCCCTCACTGTCTCTACACGGCATCCGTTATCCATGTCCTCCTTCGCTCAGACGCTTATATAGTCTTTTTTTCTTGTTTTTTTTAATCGTCCGATGTGACATCGATTTCCTCTGGGCTCCCCCCCCCCTGTTTAGTCGCCATTCTCCACCGGTTTATGTGATGCGATCCTTTCTTCTTCTGCTGAGACTCCGAGCCCTCCTCCTCCAACTTCTGTCGCTTGAACTTCGTCCTCCGGTTCTGAAACCACACTTTTACCTACAGAGGCGGGAAAAAAAGAGAAAGAAAAGGTTTTAAAAAACAAAAACAAAAAAAAGCCTAAACCTGGATCAGTGTCACGAGATAAACCGCGATTGGCACAGTGCGTAAAACCACACGTAAAAGGGACGCGTTGTTTTTGTAGGCTCAGTAAAAGCAAGCAGCGCTGCAGTGGAAATAAGAAGGTGAACTGTGACCTGCAGTCGGTGATCACAGAGCAAACAACCTCCGGGATATACAAAGATCAATTATATTCTCATGAAAGTATGAATCCATGCATTTAAATCCTCCAATTACAATTGTTAGTCCAATATTCATTCAACGCACAAACGCCCTTAGAAATAATAAAAATGAATATAAAATGAAATAAAGTAAAGCATTTTTAATTTGTCAGCATTTCGATTCAATATGTGATTATTTCTGCCAAGCACGCGGACGTTAAAATAAATAAAGCAGTCGCATCCACGCCACTTATTTAAACATAGAGTTTCACACACTCCTCTAAATGGACTCGGCTCTGTTAAACGGTACCGTTGGGAATTAACAACATCTAAATCGATAAAGGCTCTGATCCTGCTTTGTCACTCTGTAGCCCCCTTTTTTTTGCTCTTAAACGGCAACTGAGGTGCATTTAATAAGCCTTCAGTGGGCTAATTAAAGTAGGTGACGGTTCATTTCTCCCTTCAGTCCCTCCAAAGGCCCCGCCGTCCAAAGCAGACACAGCGGACAAAAGACAGCGGCTGATGGGCTCAAACAGCATCTTAAATATGGCAGGGGGAATTCACTGAACCCGCCTCGCTCTTTGTATCGCCTATCCCATAAAATGGTTAACTGGTTAATTTGCCCTCCATTTTGAAAGGCAACATTCTCCCCCCCCCAAAACAAAGTAATTCAACCCCTCCTGAAATGAGGTTAGGCCTATACAATGACAGTGGATTTGATCCAACAGAAAGCCCCTGTCTTCGATTGACAACGTGCATTTGTGGACCCCGCTGTGTAGAAACAATTCGGTAGCTGATTATTTGAGAGGATTGCTCTGCTAACTATATGTATATTCTTTGTTGTCATACAAGACATTCATTTTATGTAGCGGCCTGGTTTAAAAAAAAAAAAGGCTCCATGACGCACAGTGCCATGTTAAAGAAAACATATAACATATATTGCACTGCATCAGCCATAATGTGAGGAATATCTTTTTTTTATAACAATAAAAAAGGTCTGTTCCCATAGCGCGTGACTCAACACACAAGGAGCAGTGTATGCATGGCAAAATCAAATGAGCGCATTGTCCCGTTGATAGAAAACGACAGGATGTGAACTTTAATGTTGAGTAAAATACAGTGTTTCTTACCTGAGTTTCTGTGAGGCTAAGGCTGTGGGCGAGCTGTTTTCTTTCTGCTCCGACCACGTAATGGTTTTTCTCAAACGCGTGTTCGAGCCGCAGGAGTTGCGAAGGTGAAAAAGCTGTCCGGATTCTTTTGGGCTTTCTGGCCAGCGCGTTGTGCAAAAGGAAGCTCTCTGGACTCGTTTCATTACCTGGGAACGAGCAGAAAACGAGGATCCGTCAGCAGCTTTTCTCTGACTCTATAAGATATTAACATTTCCATAACCACCAGCAGGCCTGCACACAGCTATGAAACAATAGTCGACTGACTGTATACGGCATGATAATAATGTCTGAGGAGAAGCCGGACACAGGTCTATCATTTGGTAATTTACCGAACACGAATGCATTTTAAATAGCTGCCTATTGTAGACTTTCTCCATCTAACATCTGTGAGACCACCGCGTGAAAGAGAGAGGGAACCAGCACAAAGGTATAATCCTGGGCCTAATTAAATTAGTGAAAAAACAGCCTTTGTAAACAAAAGGTCAAATGAAATAGCATGAAGACGTTTAAATAAACAGTAACCCAAAAAAAGTAGGGAAATTAATTTTGAATTGATTCCTATAAAATGTATTCATTTTGCTTTTATTTGTCAGAAAAAAACAAATAATCACAATAATAAATACAACAAAATAAGAGACCAAAATAAAATATATATACAAACGAATAGTCTTAGTCAAACTTAGTCATCTTAGTTATTACAATTTAAATTACCCGACATTTGACTCATGTCAGCCTTAGAAAATTACCAAAATACTGCCAAATAACCATCCATTGTTGGGGGTATTTCCCCCCTTAATACCTAGAATGAGTATTTTATTAAAATGTGAAATACGTCTGTGAAATAAGCAGCGAGATACATTAGTTTGGTTTTTTACGCATGGCTCCGGCTCATAAATCCATTTAAGCTGCAGCACCAACAGTGTACAAACATGTCAACATTTCAAGTGGTCTTTGGTGCCCGATAAACATTACAGGCAGCAGACTGACACAGAAGCCAAGTCAACAATATTTTTTTATGCTCCAGTGGTTTTAAAAAAAACATCTTTCTTGCAAATGAGGAAATACATTCCAGGTGTATTTTTGAACGAAACAATCCATTACATAAGTGTCTGTTGTGGCCTGAGGATTTCAGATGACTGCCTCTAAAACGGCTCTGCTACAGTTTCGCATATTTCTTTTAATATTCCTTATACATCCTGCTGTCTGAACTGAGAGAGAGAGAGAAAGAAAACAGTCCAGCCGCTCGGCGCAAAAGAACCAAACGAAGCATTCTGATAACTTACCTTGAAATCTGTGACCCAAGTACCTATATCTGTGTAATAACCAGGGGTAGAAAGTTGACGGGTCCCTTTGCTGGCTGGCAAAAAGAGGGTGCGGACTGTGTGAGGATGAAAGCGGGTGAGCCATAGCGTGCTGCGGGGCCACCGAATGCACCGGCATGGCGGAGTTTTGCTGATGAGAGACCGCCTCGGCGAACACCAAGTCCGGGTTAGAGTAGACGCCCCTGCCGCCGGAGTGAAAGCCGTTGAGGAAGGGGTTCATCTGGCCGGAGTTTGCATAGCTGAGAGCCGCTGGCCTGATGGGCTCCTCGGTGCGGGACGCCGGTACATGATTATCCTTCGCCACTAAAGACTCTATAGTAAAACACCTCTTGGGTGCAGGTTGAAACATGGTCTGATAGTCCAGATTCCCCAGTTTAGGTTTAAAGTAGTCGTATGGCGCTCTCAGCTTAAAAAATACTCCACACTCAAAGAAAGGGGAAAGTTTCTGCGCAGTAAATAAGTTGGGGGGAAAAAACGCGGTGGTGTCGGGAAAGCCCAAATAAAAAGTGCTCGGCTACTCCCAGACTAATCCATGGATGTGATCGTTTTCCTCGCCCGGGTTCGTGCAGGCAGATTTGTTAGTTCATGAGCCTAATTAGCGCTGCAGTCCCATAAACAGCTTCCTCTGAAGGCTGTAATGGCATGGTGATTGGTCGCCGCCGCTGCTGCTCGCCTTAAGGTGGAGAAGGGGAAGACGCTTAAAAAGTGCGTCAATGGGAAGCAGGGGCGCGGAGAGGCGGACTCGAACGCGCAACACGGAACGGATTCGTCCAGAGAGGAGCCCCCCACCCCCCCAACACACACACACACACACACACACACACACATACTCACGCGCACATATCTCCAGGACATTTAACACACTCGTCTGAACCAAGCTCAAGGTAGCCTGCTAATTTTGCATTGAAGGGCTATGACAGCTTCAACCTGTTTTTTTTAAGAGGGTGGTGCATTTAGTGTTAGCAAGTGATTATTTTTAATTATGCACAACAATGTTGTGCAAACATCAAATCAGCTCTATTAAAGTCTATTGTCGACGCTGTGCACGCGGAAATGTTCAGCCTCAGTTTTATCAGTCGGCCTTCATTTCTTTCTCCATTTTTGTTCCTGTTGTGTTTTTTTTGTCCAACTGGATTTATGTAGAGAAGCTGCTCTTGTTTCCTCCCTGCTCGTTTTTTTTTCATTTTTCTTCAGATTCTATTAGGATAAATTTCAAATTGAAGACTCTTAATTTCTGCCGGCTGGGATGTCTGAGAGACACCGGGGACACAAACAGGCTTTAGATTTAAATACTACACTGCACGAGGACTGACAGTCTTCAACATTCAACAACACCTCTCCACTTATGAGTCGCTGCGTGTCAATCAGTGTTATTCAACGCAAACATGCTCAGGTGTTTATTGGAGTACAGCTACCTGGGTCTGCAGGCTGTCAGCCCGCACCGAGGGCCTTCAGAAAGAAATAACACACACTGGTATAGCACGCGGAGGTGCAGTCACGAGGCTGCTGAACTGAATATGTACAGCCCGGGAAATGAGCAATGCTATGTGCTATTTTATATTTTATTTTAATATAATGTTTTATTAATATTTTGTGTTTGCATGCTTTTTCAGACGTCAGAAAAAAATGTAAGTCGCCTTTTAAGGGACCACATAGAGATGAATGGTAAATATACTGTGTCAGATTATTATTATTATTATGAAATGTATTTTCAATTTCATTATTATTAGGCTGTTATTATAAAGTATCGTAGCTTATACTTCGAGGATGCATACCACGTGCATGCAAAGCGTATCGGCAGGTTTAGGTGTATCTGTGCGTGTTACAGGGTCTGTTTGGAATAAAACACTAATTAGACTGAAAAGGGTTCGCAAAGATATCAGAGCACCAACAGCTCCACCACACATAATACGCCTGATTTAACATTAAAATGTGTCAATCTAGATCATTGTTATTATCGCGAATCATTGGAGGTTGGCTGTTTTAGATGTTTTATTTGAAGCCGCTTGGTCAGTTCATTAAGGTAAAGCCTTCTCTGTATGTCTTACCGATGACGCACATTAATATTATCAGTGTTACTATTATTAGCATCATTATGACAGTAACCTACATCGTAGCTATATGTCGGTCCAGGTCAGCCAAATTCAAAGCCATGTATTGTTACCAAACGAGCATATATTTAAAGGAAAAGTTCATCATGGTTGAGATTTTTTCTCTAACATCATGCTATCATGGTTTTGATAACTGACTGGATTCTGACCACTGACTTTAAGACCCGAGTTCACTGCTGATCATGAACCAACACACCTCCTGCTCTCCCACGTGAAGCGTGTCCTCTCCACGGAGCTTCACCGACCTCTGGTGGTAACACAGCGGTAGTGTGATTAAAAACGGATCTAAACCTTGAAAACAGCGATCCAGCAACTCCCTCACTAGATGAAGAGTTTCACTGGTTACACTTTGTGAAAGTTCGGCCAGTTGGAGCCAATACTATAAGTGTTAGGACCTATAATTGTTCTTTAAGCTAAGCTTCAACCTATTGACCCCATTGTGTGCCCCAGTCGGTTTATCCTCCGACCCCCACGTTGGGCTAAGTGGCTTAGTATTGTATACCAGACTATAGCTAATAAGTGTGCTGCAATCTTCAATGGTGTGATAGCATTTGAGACCAAATTAACAATAGGTGGTGAACAAACATCTTTATTAATAAAGGCTTTATCTGTACACATGCAACCCAGTTTGATACCCGTAATTGCAGCAAGATAGAACCACACACTGGAGATCAGGCAAGACCAATTGAATACTCTAAGCATGCACATCAAAATGTTACTTCCACTGGTTCAGGTTGAGAAGCGTCTGAAACATTGGATGAAGAGCAGAGATCACTGAATGAAGCACATGACAGATTCCTAGTCATTGCTATTACAAGAGTGGTGGATCTGTGGCAGAAGATAACATCATCGATGTAGAGTTCATGTATTTAAAAGAGGCCGTAGGTGAAGCACTGAGTTTGCAGTGGAAGTTTGAGCAGGTACATTGGTTTTCAGTTTAGTTAATTTCACTTTTTTATTGTAAGGTAATAACACTCCTGACCACTGGGCGCAGTCATGTGTACATTGGTAGTTTGCATGAGTTTATTGGTTGATGTGTTTTGGGTGGTGAGAAGCCTCTGGTACAAAACAGCTGAAAGTCAAATTAAAGACTAATGGAAAATAATTCCCAGGAAAACTACTGTCTACAAAGATGTCATACAAAGGAATAATCCACATGCGTATCAGAAGCGTGTGGCCATTTCTTCTCCACTGTGGCTAACTGGCCGTTACTCAGCGGCGTACAGTGGTCCAGCCGTCATCATCCGTCTCGTTCTTGATGCGACGAGCTTCTTTCTCAGCACGCCAAGCCTTATCTCCTTCAGCCTCACGCTCCACTTCTCTGGGCCGCTCCTCGCGCTTCTCCTCGCCGCCACGACGCCAAGAACCTCCTCCTGAGGAAACAATGGAGCTCATTAGAACATTGTTTTACTAGTTTGGGAGTTTATAGATTTATCCTCCCTGGTACTTGCCATAGCAGTAATAAAGGTGAACAGCGACCTCTGCTGGCTGAATAATACACCCCCACATAGTGTATCCCAATTGTGTGTTTTTTAGACAAGATAGTGCTAAATAAAGTCCACACCGACTAAAAGTGATTTGTTCCATTTAGTTACTATTTGGAGACTCTAGTTGTGTCAAGTGTGCCTGATGACTTCTACAATGTTTGGATCTGTATCCTGGATGTTGCTGAAAGTTTTGTTCAACCATAAGCCACATTTCAATAAGAACGTGACAAATATACGTCCTACAGCCTTTAATAATGTCACGTATTTTAGGGAAACTGTTGCGGTGTATCCGTGATATGAATGTTATGGTTATATCTAAAAATCCCACTGTGCTTACCCTCCTCTGGCTCTTTGGGTGGGCCTCTGACTTCACGGCGCTCGACATCACGGCGAGGCTCCTCACGGCGCTCGACATCACGGCGAGGCTCCTCACGGCGCTCGACATCACGGCGAGGCTCCTCACGGCGAGGCTCCTCACGGCGAGGCTCCTCACGGCGAGGCTCCTCACGACGAGGCTCCTCACGACGAGACTCCTCACGACGAGACTCCTCACGACGAGACTCCTCACGACGAGGCTCCTCACGACGAGGCTCCTTGTGGTCAGTGTCCTCTTTGCGAGAGTCTGCACCTGCCCTCCTCCAAGTACTCTCCTCTCTGTGAATAGATAGTTTCAGCGATTAACATGACTGTGACCCATCGCAGAAAACATGACATACTCTCCATTTATTACAAAGGCATAGGTCTATCAGGCTCACTTGACTGGGCGGTCTCTCAATTTGTCGCTGTTTTTTTTTTTTTCCTCTGCTTTGTCATCCTCTCTGCCCTCACTGGCATCATTACGGGGAGGGCCCCAGCTGTCCTCTCGGGCCTTCTCCCGCTCACGCCAACCACCTGTAGCTGTAGCTGAAGCATCACATCACATCACATTACATTTCAGCACAGAGCTGCTCAGCAGTCTGCTGAGCAGACACTCATCACTTATTAGCAGCTGAACGGCTACAGGCTTACCGGGTCGGCTCAGGGGCTTCCAGGGTTTCTCTTCGTCGACATCAGCACCACGACGTGGCCCATCGTCCACGCCTCTCCTTCCACCTCTCTCGTCATCTCCTCCTCTTCTGGGACCCCAGTCATCATCAGCCCCACGCCGGGAACCCCGGGAGTCATCCATGGCCCTACGGGGACCTCTGTCATCATCAAAGCCGCGCCTGAAACTGCCGCGGTCATCATCGAAGGCACGCCTTGGGGCACGGTCATCATCAAAACCTCTGCGTGGAGCACGGTCCTCGTCCATCCCTCTGCGTGGAGCACGGTCATCATCATCGCCGAAGCCTCTGCGGGGTGCTCGGTCATCTCCGGCCCTGCGAAGACCTTCTCGCCTGAAGCCCCCCTCTCTGTCCTCCTTCTCCTCCTCACGGCCCTCTTGTCTCCATTCCCTGGAGAGAGCACGGGCATGGCTAAGAGGAGCCTCTCAAGGTTTAACAATAACAACAGTAGGATGAGAGAGTCACCAAAACCTACCTGTCAGGCACAAGACGACGCCGCTCTGAATCCACCTCCGTGCGCTTCCTCCATCCTCCTCCTCCTTCCTCCTTCTCAGTCTCCTTGTCCTCCTTCTCGGACCAATCCTGTGTAAGCAAAACATATCAGTCAATACACACTGTGGCATTAGATCAGTGTCACTCAAAGGTCTGTGGACTTCATTGGTCCCTACAAGGCTTTAATGGTTTAGCCCGTAGTCCATTACTCTGCACTCAGTCCTTGAACTTATGAGACAATATATTTGGGCTCCCTTCCATCACACCGCCATATTAGGGATGACAATACTTTCTGACAAACTATTGTGATCAATTGTCTTGCATTATGTCATCATTAAGTTGCAATATGTATACATAAGTGTAACCTTTACTCATTTTACATCTAAATTACATATGTAATTTATTTCTATTCTTGGCACCATGGTGTTAATTACCTGTAATTCCCACCCCTTTATATTTGCATGAATATTCCACTGAATGTCAAGCTCAATAACTAGTTTGTACCTTGGCTTTCTCCTCAGTGGGGGCCCTTTTCTCCTCCTCACGGCGGTGTTCTCGCTCCTCGATCTCCTGTTGACGAGCACGCTGCTTCTTTTCCTGCTCCTCCAGTTTGCGCAGACGCTCCTGGTACTCCCTGTCCTCCTCCTCTCGCTGCTCCAGTTCCACGCGGTCACGATCCTCGCGCTCTGTAACAAAAGCAGAAGATAACATGTTCAAACTTTGACAGAATAAGCAGGGCATGACATACTCCGAGTGGCTGCCACGATCAGAAAACATGTTCCTGACATGTCCTTTGTCATGATCACCTTCCGTCCAAAAGTCACGAGCCAACTGTCAAAACAAACACTTTAACCACAGCGGCCACATGGTCCTCCCGCCTCTCGTTAGTGACCGTCCCAGTGCACATGTGCAAACCGAAATGAATTACCTTTCTTGAGTTGCTCCTCGTGGATACGCTGTGCATCTTCCTCTTTCTGGTAGTAGAAGTTGTTACGCCTGTCCTCTTTGCGCTGGATCTTCCTTTCTTCCAGGCGCTTCTTCCTCTCCTCCACCAAGCGGTCCTCGAAAGTATTCAATTTTTCCTTCAAAGACAGAATGGAGAATTTGAAACCACTGTCAGTCATACAGTTATTCTGCCACTCTGCTCTAGAAACAGTATTGGTTCCAAGCAGAAGCCATTACTGCCGTACCAGCAGGGGACACTTAAGTTGTTGTGTGCTCAAACAACCACAAGGTAGTATCTCGGAGCAAGGCGGAGCCTATGGAAGCGTCATATCCACTGACTGTATATGACGACAGGTGGCGGCAGACAGACAGCTGATGCATACCGGTTCATCTGCATGTTTGAGGTGACGTCACCATACTGGACTTCAGGCAGCTTGTACTATGCCGATGCTCTTACCTCATAGATGAAGCTACGGGCAGCAGTTATTTTGGACAAGAAGCTTTCTTTGTCCTCCATCATCCTGGACATGCGCTGCTTGTGCTCCAGAGCCTTCTCCCGTTCAACTTTCATGTTGCTGATCTATTAGAAAAAGAAAAGACAAAATATGAAATTCTAGATACTCACATTGGTGTATTCAATGTCTTTGATATATGCATGTCATTTTTGAATCAGTATTATTATTTATTTTGGTTAAATACCCTTTCTTCCTCCTGGAGCTCCCATAGTTCCATGTCCTTGATGCGCTGCTCTTCGTAAGCCTGTTTGATGAGAGGAATCTCCTCGAGGCGCTTCGCCCTCTCAAAGTAGTCAATCTAGAGAGAAACAACGATTAGTGTCCAATTCACACCGAGGTCACTGATATGTTCACTGATGCATCACTCGGTTACCTTCTTCTCCTGGTTCTTCAGACGCTCCTGGAGTTCCCTCTTCTCCTTCTCCAGCTGCTCCACCTGCTTGGCCATGATGAAGTCAGGGTCCAGCTCCTCAAGGTCCTGTACAAAACACATTTGTTAGTCTCACCTTTTAACTTGATATTACAATGACATATTTCTGCAAAATGGAATTCAACCTAAAGAGCAATCTACAGTTTACCTCAATATCAATATCCTTGAAGGCCTTGGCTCCAAGCTCGGTCTTCTTGATCTGCTCCAGCCGCTCACGGACAGTTTTCTTCTTGATCTGCTCGTGCTCCTGCATGATGCGCTCCTTCTCCCTCTCTTTGGCCTCCTGGCGCAGACGCTCCTCCTCGGCTTTGCGAACCTTCTGCATCTCGGCCTCCCGCTGCTCCAGCTCCTCCTTCTCACGCTGGATGTTCAGGCTCTCCAGGCGCTCCTTGCGCTCTTCAATGGTCTGTCTACGGGCCAGGATGCGCTGGTGATCCTTGCGGGCATTTTTCAGATAGGCAGCAATGGCCAGCTGATTCTGCTCCTCGCGCTCTTGCTGAGAAACAACAAAAACATCAAAATGTAGCTTTGAGTTGCAGAACAGAACATGGTGCCAGAAGACACTAAACATGAACTAGAGTTTAATACCACATGGAACTACATGCATGCGTCTGTTAGAATTATGTGAGAGTAGGTACTGATGTCACTGATCAGGGGTCTCTGTGTGTCTATTTAAACTCACCAGGATGGAGGCAGGCTTGATGACCTGGATGGCTTTGGCCAAAGAAGACGACATGGCGGTCAGCTGGTTCCTGATCTGCTCTGAGGGCATGTTCTGCAGGAAAGGACCAACGGGGGCGTCCTCTTTGGTCGAGTAGTTCAGGTCGGAGCCAAAGCTCAGAGTTCGAGAGGTGTGGTCTATACGGACCTTCAGGGGAAACAGGAATGTCAGACAAGTCAACACTCTTAACTGTAATAATACTTTTGTTGGTTTATAAGTAGTTATTTTATCTAATTAGTTGATGCATAATCTCTTCTGATCTTGGTCTCACCTGCAGATCACAGTGGCGGGCCGCATCCACAATGGAGCGCTCTAGTTGGAAGGCATCCACAAATGGAACGAGGGAAGCCAGACGGGTGAACTCGATGCTTTGATAGATCTGTGCCACCTAATGAAACGGAAGAAGAATGATGAGAGATCCCCACCATTACACTGTAGGTGTTGTTTAGGACAGCATTGCAGGGGAATCAAATAGACTGGAGAGAGTTACCTGTTGCAGGAGCCTCAGGATGGTGTTACTCTGCAGGTGAGGGACGTAATGCTGCAGATCAGATTCCTTCTCTGCCTGGTCTTTCACCCAGTTCAGCACCTGATAGGAGAGCAAGTTTGTTAGCACTTGATTTCATGAATCAAGTGAATATCATACAAACTGCAGTTGGATTGTATATTTTGCCTGGCAGATTGTTTACCTTGGTCACTCGTCCGCTCAGCTTCAGAGGATGAAACTCGACTTCAAGCCAGTTATAAAGTTCTTTTATATCCGGTACAACATACTGCAGCAAGTTAAACCTCACCTAGAATGCAAACACAAAAATATCACTTTCTGAAAACAACTTAAAGCAAATATTAATTAACAATTTTACAAGATCAGGATAAAAGCTAAATTTCAAACAAACAATCGAGTGTTTTTCTTTTTAAACTTATTAAAAGAGGTATTCAGTGGCACTGTTCAACCCTGGAACACCTGACAAAGCTTTGTTGTGCAGATAACGTACCATGTCATTGATGAGACTCTGCCGGGTTGGTGGAGACTGCAGGCCCAGCAGGGTGGCCAGCCTGCGGTGTTTCTCTACAATGATGCCGTCCATGTCCAGCAGCCGGGCAATGTCAGTGCGCTCGGGGGTGATGGGAATGGACAGTGTGGCCAGCAGGACTCTGGTGGACATCCTGAAGATCGAAAGCAAGCATCATTAACCGCTTGGTCACCACCAGAGACACATTTGTGCACTTATCTACGGATAAATGAATACTATACCTCTGCATCTCATCCTGGGTCAAATTCTTACGCATCTCCCTTGAGAGGTGATAGAGCCGGTGGAGCGTGCAGGCATGGAAGAGAGCATTTCCAGATTTCCAGAACACAGTAGACACCTTGTTGTAGTAGTTGGCCATCAACTGGGGTTTGGGAGGCTTCTTGGAAAGAGCAAACAGGCCATGGATGTCTTCAACAGCCTTGAATGCTTCCTGGAAAAAGACAAACAGCGCGACATTAGTACCGATATCATCTCCACTTTGACCATGTGTGACAGTTTTATTGAACAATATAGTACAATACTTGCGTTTCATCTTTCTACAGGTAATACACTATATTGTACAATACTGTTGACTACTTTCCAAAGCATTTCTGAAATATTTTATACATTTGAAGTTTTAGGAAGTGCGTTTAAACGTGCATGCATGATAATGTCGTCCTTTAGAGAGATTTAGTGTTGGGTGGACGGACCTGCCAGAGCTCCATGCTGATGGCGCTGTCCAGCTGCACCAGACGCGTCTCCAGGTGCATAGACTGACTTTCGGGGTTGTTCAGGTTGATGGCCGTGCTCTGGTTGTGGTGCCGCTGGATCTGACCCAGATGCATACGCAGGTTGTCGCACAGCTTGCGAAATTCCGCTTTACGGGTGTACTGAAGGCAGAACTTGAAGGCTGCAGAAAGGACGACCGGACATTATTTTCTATGTAACTTTAATGATCCACATAGTATAATCTTATTGAAATTAGATAAGATGAAAGCAATATTCACATTGGAATTTAAATATATATTGTATATTGGGACCCAGTAAAACATTGATTATTACTAGTTAAAAACAACAGTGTTCATGTTGTCATTCAGCAATGAAAACAGATTAAGTATAGAACATTTTGTTGACAGTAACGTTAATACAGCCTTGATAAATATCACACTCGGTTCAGACAATTGGAGATTAAATGATTGCAAAATGTTCTGAACACGGTATTCAGTGAGTCTCTACCTTGCTGAGCAATGTCATGGTACAGGCGCTCCACCTTGGAGTTGTTCCTCAGCAGGTCCAGGCACTGGCGGTAGGACTCCCACAGGAACTTCACCCAGGGAGTGAGAAGCAGGCGATCGGTACGATCCTGAGTGTCCTCTCCACTCACAGCACTCAGGAGAACACTTAAATCACAACAGGCTCAAGGTTAATAATCCATCTTAAAATGATCAAGCACATGCTAACTACCGTATACTCTAGGGCTGGGCAGTATGGACTAAAACAAGTGACACGTTTTGACCAAATACCTGGATATCAATATCGCGAAGATATTTAAGTGTCGACTATTGGTGCTTTCAGTAAATATTTACACAATGAGAGTTATGATAAATAATCCTCACTACTGTTGATATTATGACGTAGTGGGTAAAGGCAAATAATAAAACAGCTAGAACTGTCTCGTAAATGATATCACGTTTCTGTAATGCAGCTTTTAAAACCACGAAAAGACAAAATGTGCAAATATTGTGCCATATTAGAACATTAAGACAATATCTAGTCTCATATCAAGACAAGTCCTATTGTACCATCGTTATACTGTATAACACACAATCATCTGACTACAATAAGAAATTAATTTAGATTCTCCATCCAAGAGACACTTTTTATACTTTAGAGAAACATAATTTCTGCATCTTACATTTGAGCCTACTCACCTTTCAGGAGTCTGGATGTTATCCAGATCCTCGATGTCCAGGACCATCTGCTGGGACTCCCCCTTGGCGGTCTCAGTCTTCTCCTCCGCCAGCTTCAGGTAAGCCCTAACCACATCCTCCAGGGATTTGATATTCACCTGAAAGCAACGACAGGCATTAAACGAGCTCCATAAAACTACAACAGCCAGCCGATCTGTGTAACATCGCCCGTTTCTCCTCACACACCTGCTGGCAGATGTTTTTGTACTGGTAGAGACCCTCCTTAGCCAGGTGGCTCTTGCGGAGATCCACGCACAGCTCCAGGTACTTGAGCATGATGGGCTCGTGGATCTTCTGCCATGTTCGATGTTTCTTGCTTTTGATGACATCGTACAAAACATCCAAAGCTGGCTGCTTCTTATCGACCTCAAGAAACTCTGTGTAAACACAAAGAGAAATGGACCAACATAAGCTCCATCGCAGGTTGATGGTACCGTTAACCGTATACATTTACCACTGAAGCTTAACATCTCGCACCAGTCCCACAGTCGTGGTTAGCTACATAGCTGAATCAGCCTGACTGTGTTAGGCCCAGGGTGCTTGATGATCGGACATTAGCATCAACGCTACAAGATAATAGAACCGATAGCGCCAACAAATTGACAGTAATATCAGCAAAGAGTCATTGCCAATGACGTTTCAAAGTAATCACGGTCATCTAAAGGCCTCCTAAGATACATTTCTCAAACGTCACTGGCTTAATCAATGGTCAGTCACACACTAATGGCCCAGCCGGTTAGCTTCACACGAACGTAGCAGTACGAAAGCGGTAGGGCTTCCTCGCCATTCAAGCTAACAGTTAGCTTGGCTAACTCCATCGCGGCATAGTTAGCTAACTAGCTAACGTTAGCTAATGTCTGACATCTGTGAAACGTGAAGTTGTATTTCTACTCACCGTTTGCTCGTTTCAGAGCATTCTCTGGCCTTTGAAAATACGCCGGCATGTTGGTGGCGTTTTAGTGAAACTCAAATTAGCTGACTTGAGTGAATTTTGATCAATTTCACCACTCCATCCACGCCACGCACTCACCCGCTGCAACGGTGCTGGCTGAGAAAGGTTGAACCTCGTGAGCGGCCTAGCTAGGGTTGCCTCAAGCACTATCCCCCTTTCACAGTGTCCACGTCAGGAATAGAGGAAACTGAGTACCAAGAAATTCAGTTTTGTCTCAACCAAAAACTACAATACATATTAAAGGTTAATGTATCCGTATTCAGGGCGTCAATGTAGTTATTTCTCATTTCTGATCAAATCATAATATGTATACTTTGTTAACTACTAATTATCTATTATTATGGGTAATGATGTATGTGTTTGTTTGTTTATTTAAATAAGTGTTACTTTAAACAATTTGATACAGATAAATCAGAATGATAATAACAATAATTATTTGTCATATCTTTTATACGTGGTTACACATTGTTGCAAAAGAGCCACTTTGTAGCTATATAGCTATAAGTTATGTTGGAGTATCCTGCAATTGTTCTCTCGATTTATACGTAGGCTGTATTTGACCAATAATTATAAATTGTGCTGTCACATAACTCACTGATAAGTGACCATGGGTGTTGTTAAAACGTTTCAAATTAATAAAGTGTGTTAAATAAGGTATTGAGAACTGTAACCTCACAAAACCTACTAAACCGGGGGTTTCTACAAACCTGGCAGCTCTGGGTGTATAAAGGTCCCGTATGCGCTCCACTAGTGGTGTGGTCAGGTAACCCTCGTTAAATAGGATCTTTGTCAAACTAAGTAGGGTTCATACCATAGACTCAACTGTATATAAAGGTTTATATGAAACTTCATATTAGAGTCAGTATCATATCAACAGATACTTAATATAAAATGATCAGACTGAAAGAAAACATGATCAGGACATTGCTGATTTTGTCTGAGTCTGTTTCATTCAAATAATAAATGATTATAACATTACCAACATATAGATAGATTACTATGTTATTGTAGCCAGCGCACATGTATCTGTTGATTTACATCAGAAGTGTAGGCAGCACCATTTATTTTCATTTGGCGAGGTATTTTTAAGTCTCGTATAGTCGTATACTTTCAAGAACCCTGAACGCACCATTACGTCTGAAGTATCGCGAGCTATATGATTGGTTGTCAGCAGCATGCCTCCTCCCGCACAATCCTCCAGTCCCGGAAGAAGGAAGAGGTTTCTCAAAAGGGAAAACAGTCTGTTGACAGCAGAAATCACACCCAGGCCACTGAAAAGTTTTGACACATGTTCTGTCTTATTAAATCCGTCTAGCGTCACATTTGGACTGAGCGGGAGCTCTCAAGGTACTCTACGGTTGAATGAGCGTCCACAGATAGTCGGTGCTTGGCGTGTCATGTGCAGTTAATTTGTGACTCTGAACTCTTTCAGGTTATGGAACATGGCAGCAACTGAAACGCAGTTTATGTTAAGCGTCGGATTAATCGGTAAGTTTCCGTTCACAGGTCGTTTCTTGCCGCTCGGTTGGGATTTTGACGCCTCAGTAATATACGTGTAGGAGAATCACGTGATATCCGTGTGACCCAAAAGTGTCTCATCAGCAGTGCTCCAGGTCCCGCCTTGGTTCACGGTTCCTGCCTTTTAGGCGTTCCTAACAGAACCCCAGAGAACCCTGTCCGATGTGATGTTATATGTCTGTCCATCTTCTAATAGGTGATCATGTATGATGTCCCCTTTTGGTTTATTCCCCCCCCCCTGCCCAGAGAAAGATGTGAATGGAGACACACTGTGGGTGTGGTGCTTTCCCTCTGTGGGCTCAGACCTGAGGAAAGTCCTGCTCAGCAAGTGCTGTCTGACTCAGGACGGCCGGGATTTCCACACCTTTGTGTTTGGTCAGTTCTGTCGCACCTGGTACTACATCACAACCGTGGAGGTGCAGGAACCTACAGCACTAAACAAGGTACGACGTGCAGAGACTCTGCTGTTATTATGACAAGGAACAACGAGAGTGCAGCATTTCTGTCTAATACTCAAATTCATGAGTTCTATTTTTGTCTCTGTTATCTCTTCAAGGTGACTCATTTTTCAATAGTTGTTACAGCAAAAGACTTCAACCCTGAGAAGTATGCTGCACTCAGTAGAATACTCTGCAGGTACAGTGTTCAGCTCAAATGAAACTGCTTGTGCACTTTTCCTCTAAGAGGGTTTTATTTCTATTTGAGTGTTGTATTTTTGTCTATTATCCAGGATGTACATCAAACATGGCAGTCCAGTGAAGATGATGGAGGCGTATGTCACTGTCCTCACTAAAGGAATTTGCCAGAGTGATGAAAACGGCTCGTTTCTAATTAAGGATTATGATGTTCGGAATGCGTACTTGGCTGGTTCAGTCAAAGGTAAGATGTCGTTAAACAGCAAAACTGACCCGCAGTGAGTTAGGTATGTCCTTTTGGTGACATAAGCAAGTCCTACAAGGGTGTTATTAAAGATATGTATATGTTTTATCACTTGTTTACAGTGATTAACTGCAAGCTAATACTGAAAAAATACTGAACTGAAATTCATTGTGGTTCATAAAAATTCACTTGAAACACAATCTAGATTCCTTAAGAGTAAAAGTGGGTCATCCGGTTTACTCCCATGTATCTCTATCTATATAGATGTGGTGTCCCAGTTTGGTATGGAGACCATCATCCTGTATACCGCTCTCATGCTGAAGAAGAGAATCATCGTCCATCACCCTCGGATTGAAGTGTTGTTGGAGTTTACGAGGTGCATTGAACACTTCAAATTCCAAATATTTGCGTTGAAACTTGAATCAACCCTCCGTTGTGGAGAATATTGTCATCTGTTGGCAACTCTTTGTCCGTTTCCCCTCAGAGTTCTGCCGACTCTGACGTGGCACAGGAAAGACTGGTCCATCCTGCACCCGTACGTGCACCTGACTGATACTGAAGTAGAGGATCTCAAGAAATGCCCCGGTGAGGCTGCCTCCTGGTTTGTTTACTCTGATGTCTCCTCCTCAGCCACCCGTCTGCACTGTGATCTCATGGTGGGGACATTAATTATTTATGCACCAATATGTTCGTTCCCTCCGCAGGCTATGTAGCAGGTTTTGTAGATCCGGAGGTGAGCAACAGATCGGATTTGTTTGATGTGTATGTGAACCTCCCAGACGGCGTCATCACGGTATCCCAGAGTGCCAAAGGTACCGTATGTTCAAAGAGCGAGAGCAGTATGTTTCCAAGAGAGCTTTGATTCGTGAGAGCGTAGGACAACATTTCCCTCAGACTCATGCTAAGTATCCCACCACAGAGTCCATGGCGATGGGGAAGTTGCACAAGGACATCGGCCACCTTATTGTCCAGTCTGCAGAGGATGCTGAGCGGTCCGATAGTCAGGTCATCAAGGTGAGAGCATCCGTAGAGCAGTTTTCAATCAACAATTGTAAAAAAAAAAATGTATTCCTGAATCTAACATGACAACCACACATCAATTCACAGGATATTTCTGTCAAGACCAAAGAGATCCTTGCCAACTTGGTGGCCCTGGCTGACAAATGTGAAGACTGTAAAATCACACTGGAAGGTTTAAAGCTGCATCATTTCCCTCCGGCAACGGAGAACTTCCTCTTTCATTTGGCAGCTGCCGAGCAGCTCTTACGGATATGAACCTGTTTCCAGACACCGTGCTGCAGGAGGACGTTGCTGTATGGACTCCAGCTGTGTTGCTCTGTGTATGTTGGGATGATTACTGTTGTCTGGAAGGCTTGTGCACCCTCTCACCACTTTCATGAGTGTGTGCTCGAGGCACTTTCTCACAGTAATCTTCACGTGGGGTTGGAATCTTGAGCTCTATTTTTTGTCTTAAAAAAAACAATGAGCCACACTGCTGCACCGGCTGACATGTTGCTTCATTCCATGGCCACTGTGGGTCATTGAGTCAGTTCTGCTGCCATCAATTCTCACAGCAGCAACAAATGTGTATTAATCCGCAGCTGAAAATAGTACCCAGCAAATGCACTGTTGGAGATTACGTTTGTGAAAAATGACTGCCCAGCTGTTTTTAGAAATGAAAGTATATATTAGTGTTTTGTCTTTTAAGTCTAGCCACAGACAGACAGACAGACAGACTAACTTGCTGTTGATTGGAGTCTTTTCATTGGATTTGGTGACAGTCAGAGAAATATCCGATGATGCGAGCTTTGTCCTTTAACATCAGGCGACAGTATTTGTCTCTCACTGTGAAATGGAGACAAATAAGCTGGTACTTTTTCAGCTGCTACATCTCAGTGCTTTCCAGATGTAAGCTCCCACTCCACTTACATCAGACATACAGATGTCCACCCCACCAATATATATATATACACACAGCAACAGCAGCTGAAATGACTCAGATGTAACGAGCAGCTGTTATTAATGAGATTGTCGATAGAAACTGCATCATACGTGGTTATCGGATCACAACTGCAAGAGACACAAGGTGTGTTTTTTTTTAACAAAGTCTTGTTTTGTATTTTACTAAAGACTTAAATAAAAGGATGTAAGTTGTAAGAGGCTTTTTCAAACTGTTTTATAAAAAGGTGATGGATACAAAAAAAGCTGTTCATCAATCTAATCAAACAATAATCGGTGCTTCCATGTCCACGTTGATTTAGATTTTTATTGTCGTACTGTTTATTAATTGATGTGTAATTAGCGCTGTTTTGCAGCAGAGTACATTTTCAACCACATTGCCAAACGGATGGTTTTGAGCCTCAGTATTTCAGATAAGACCGAGTGCAATACATAGCCGATGTAATGTAATATGTAACTTTGAAAACTAAATGTATTTTCATGAATTGATGTAATATTTTGTATCTATGGAAACATGTAATATTCCAGCTAATTAAATTGACTATCAAAAAGTATCTTCCTTCCTGTTTTTAATATTTTGTGTGAAAACTGGGAGAAAAGGCTGCATTGTGTTCCATGTATGGTACATCTTCAACAACACGACTTTAAAGAAGACCTTTTATCATCATAACATCCAGTGATAGAAACGTGAAACTGCTCCTCAGAGTCCTCTATGGTAGTAGAAGTGTCCACCGTCCGCGGCCGCCTGCAGCTGCTCCTCCACAATTTCCTTCCTTATCTGTAAAACAAGGTCAGCGTCAGCGGAGTTCATCATAAGGAAAACATTGCAGCACGGCAGCATCGTGAATCTCACCGTTCCCAGCTGTGGGAAGAGACTGAACGAGACGGGGATCATCAAGCCCAGAACAAAGGTGACACCTATGTGACGGACTGGAGCGGCCAGCAGAGAGTTCCTCTGGAAAAGTCTTGTTCTGAAAAGGAAAAATCTTATTTGGTGAAGTCTGACGATTTAACGGCGTAAAGTAGAGCTACATGTAAAAGTGACCGACCTCTTTAAGAGCAAAACCAGGAGATTAGGAACGGCAGCGGTTGTACCAAACAGAACCGCTCTCGACAAAGCAGTTTCCCTCACAGCCTGAACAAAAAGAATAACACGATGTGCAACACTGCTGCTTTTCAATGAGAAGACTCATTTCTGTCCATTTTGCTCTTGTACCTTGTCTCCCGCTGCTTTAGAGAGGCCGACAGGGTTTCCATTGGAATCAAAGAGTTGGATCCCAGTTTCTGACTCCTCACTTCTGACGGTATACACATTGAAGAAGGCCAGAGCAGCTGGAGAGAGTCACACAACATCTTAGTTAAAATGAATAAAGAGTCCTACCTGTTATTACTGGATCCACACCAGCTGACTCACTACTACATCAAAAGAAAATAAGCAAACAATGTAGCATTTTGTGTCTAGCTTGGTGTGACATCTGACATTCAGATGAAGATCAAGTATTTTGATGTATGATATACTGCAATACTGCTTATGATGCAGTATTTAAATTTAGAGAGAAATACTTACCTGAGAATGGGATTGGTAGTATCGACCTAAAGAAAGTCTGGATCGGTGCGCTTCTTACGCCAAGTCGGTTAATGAAAATTTGAGGAAGGGCCTGAAATACAAGATAGGGGAAATTTAGAAGCAACTTTTTTTAAGTCTACTTGAAACATTACAATTAACATGGCACACAATCAGGTTCACACACCCCTGCACATGTTGCATAGGAAACTGTTCCAGCGATCAACAGAAGCTGTTTCAAAGACGCCGTCTTCCTCTGGTGGTGAGAGATAAAGACAATGAAGAGAAGCAGAAACAGAGGGAGGACAGACTGAGGGGGAATCAAGGAGATATACAGTATATACTATATAGATATATACTTTTTTAGACATGCTTTACTATGACTTCTTTCAATATGCGATACTATTACTTTTTATGACTTCTTTCGACATGTTATATATGTATATACATATACACACACACACGGATATACATATATATTACCTGCTCTGAAGAAGAATTTCTGTTTGCATAGTTGAACCCAGCACTGTAACTCTGCAGCAAAAACTGAAATAATGCATTTTTTTTTTTTTTAAATCATTTATGTATATTGTGTTACAGCCACATTTATTTATTTTAAAATACGATGACCATATCGCCATACCTGCCAAAACAGAGCGGGTTTGACGCTGCTGTGTGGCAAAAAGCTGGCAACCACCTGAAAAAGACGTTTGTTTTTTGTTTCACAACATCATGAAGAACCAAGCGTCAGTTTAGATTTACAGGATGATGAACGTACCAGAGGTGCTGATATCGGAAACAGTGCTGCAAAGAAAAATGACAGAAGTGACGGCATCAGCATTTTTGTGAAACGATTGCATAGTAATAATATACATGGTGGTACACTGTATATGCGCAATATACAATAACTGTATTTCACATGTTTAAAGACTTGATTTACTGCCATTATAGTTTCTATACGAACAGTTTTAACACTTGTTGATGTTACATGATAGTTCCTAAGTTAACTTTAATAATGGATGGAAACTTTTTAGAAATTTGTAAAAGCCTGGATGTGATTGTACCTGCAGGGCGGAAAACTAGTGGAAGAACAGCGCCGGAGTCGGCGTGGACAGACGACTGTAAACACAGAGCAGACATCAAGCCTTCTCACAACAAGCAGCACATTAAACTCCTTCAAATCACAACATCTGGACACATACAACACATTGATATTGAAAGCCGATATCTGACTCATATCTACACAACAATATCAAACTCTGTTAGTTGAACACACTTTCTTATTGCTGCGGTGGATGTTAATGCAGAAATGTAAAAGTGAATTCTGATTTATTCACAGACGAGTTCTCTGTTCTTTGCTTTCAGTGTCATTTATCTGTTTTTGTTTCCTGCAAGACTTACAAGTGAGAGGGTCAGTGCGTGTCCATCCTAGAGCAAGAAACAGAACAAAGGGCTTTAGATAAAGCTGTGGCAGGTTCATAAACATGACTGACTGATTAAGATTCTTAAACATAATCCCACCTTTTCATTTGGTTTCTGTCCACTTCCAAGAAGACTGTGGGCGTTTTGTATTTCAGCCTGAGGAGAGCAGTGTCACCAGTTAACCGGTTAAACGTCACATATATCTTCTACTCAGCTCAGCATCACTGTAGTGCTACTCACATCAGAGGAAAGCAGGGAAGTTGGATCAAGGAGATTAACCCAGATCTGTAGTCGACTGAGGAGAGACTGTAAAGGAGCAAAGGAACACTTGACCACATATTAAAAATATCTACAAGATACAAACACAATTTCATTGCAACTGGTTGACTATAATAAATCCTCATCACTGGCGATGCTCTGCATGTCAAGACCCTGCTGTGTGCACACGTACCTGTCCCTGGCTTTTCCAATACAACAGATTGGGATCCATTAGAACAACGAGAACACTTACTTCTCATACATTAAGTAACTTACAATAACACTACCACAGTACACATTTTACCAGCATGTATTTCGTGCTTTTGAGGTCAAGTTCTATTTACAATCTGCTTCCGCCTTCAACCACGTGTTCAGCTGTGGGCGGGTGTGTGCTACTTTCAGGGGTATCGGAAATATAGGAATTTATAAATTCTATGATCAAGTTGTCGTTGTGTTGATTGGACGGAGAGTACATGGGCCACGTTCACAGCGTAGACTGTAGTTGATGCTAAGCGTATGGATACAGTCTGAGGTTAGCTTTTAGTTGATTTAGAGAAAAATAATCAACAAAACATATTTAAAAGACTCAAGATGTTCAAGATATAATTATCAGCGTGTTATTTTTCCATTGCTCGCAAAATTAACGTGTTTTTTTCTCCATACTTCAATCTCGATTCAAAAATATATTTTATCACTTGAGGAGTTCCCAAGCACATGAAGGCAGCATGATAACCTCATTTATTTTGTTTTTAAGGCAACATTTGTACCAGTAACTGTCTTTGACTACTGTTTTGGTGCAGAATATCACACACGTGAGTCATTTTACACTTTGCTAGTATATACTAAAATATATATTTTTTTCCAGAGGACAGGTTTGCGTCGAGCTCGTGCGTAAATGACGCAATGACCTGGTAAATCTGCCCCCTCTGACACAAACCAAAATGGCTGCCACCATCGGAAGACTACTCAGGACCTCTGTAAGTGTAACTTCATGCAGCATAACGTGTGACACCGACACGCTTTCTCCTTAACTTGGTGTTTCGTTATCAGTAATTAACTCGTGTCGATAGCAGCTAATGATGAATAATCCACCTCTGCACCGAGGCGCTGTCGCGTCCTGTGTGTCGCACATTTAATCCACAGGACCAACTGACACAGTGGTGACAAACCTCTGGTCCGCGGCCGCTGTTTTGGACCAATACGGGTTATCAATCATTAGTGATTCAGGCTATTTGTAAGGGTTTCCGTCTAAACTGCTGACGAAACAACGGAAAGTAGCTTTGCCTGGTAGTTTACTCACTAATGGTATATTAATCTCATTAATTCATAACAGTGTAGAATACCTATAGTTTTAGGATTTTTTTTTTTAATCTGCTGTTTCAAATTACATTGTTATCATTTCATACAATGGACCTCACTGCACATTGTACTGTGTCATAGTGGGCAAATCACCAGTTAATTAATGACATTAATTACTGCTGTTTCTGTTCTTGTTTTGTAAAAATCTGTTTATTGATTTTATACTTAAACGATGCATATAAGAACTCTGCCCAAATACATTATAGAGGATTATATGAAATATAATTGAAAAAAGAAATTATTTAAGAAAGGATTAAAGGCAACACTTTATGTTAACAATTAACCATAAAAAAAGGAAAATCAAAACATGAAAATACAATACTTTAAAAAAAAAAAAAAAAAGATCACACATAATGGAAATCACGGCTGCATCGCCTTTTCTGGAGGATAGCCCACTTAGCTACGGTAGCTTTGGTCTATTTATCTGTCAATCGCTCATCATCAGAAATGTATAAAGTACACGCCAAAGACAAATGCCCATATAAAGAGGAGCTTTCAAGGAGTGATATATTATAAAAGTGAAGTTGGTTAATGATCCTTGTACATTAAGATAACCTTTACAGCCTGCCACCCACTAACATCACTGATGTTGACACACATCTGGTGTTTGATGTTAGTGCCTACTACCTTTGTGTCTGACATATACTGCATTTTGTGTTCTGAATCTTATTCACTGTGTAGTGTTCTGTGCAGGTTTAGCACTTCTTTTGAACACTTCCACCAAACCGCCAGTAGATGGCACTGTTACCCTCCAAAAATGGCAGGTTTGGTTCTTTTGAAACGTTACAGTAAGCCATGCCTGGTAGTGAGCAGCACACATGCATCTAATATGTTTCTGTTGATGATTTTATGATTAAATATATCCTTGAAAGTACACACCTAAATGGAATGCCACCATGAGTAATAGTTTTAATTCTAACTGTACCATGTCTGCTTTAACATGTGAAATAAAGCCTCCATGGCATGTGTGCGTCCTCCTTCAGTAGGCATGTCTTTCTGTCATAAGGAAAACTGCAGGTTGGCTCTGTTGCTCTTAACACCTACGCTTTTCCTGCTATGACCAGTCGAAAATGCCCGCTAAGTAAGTGATCTTTTTAAAACGCAATGTTAGCTCAATGATGAACTAAAATTATTATCTTCAAATGAAAGAAATCATAATTAACTTCTAGAAAGAGAGCACGCTAGTTGACTGACCTGTCAACCCTCAACAGAAACAGTGTCATTTTATGTATTTTCCTCACACCCACTGTCTTTATCTTTTACTCTACAGCATGAGAGCCACATCACACTTGCAGACTACAGTAGTGTGCTTGTCTTCACTGCTGTTAGTAACAGTAATTAGTCACAGCAGGTATTCTGCCCAGCAGATGGAAAACCACCTGCTGTGATGTAACGTTTTGGGTGGAGGTCACAAGAGCTCCGAGGGTGATTTTGAAACCCAGTGCAGCTTCAGTTTTATTCTAGTTTTTTTGACAATTTTTTACCCTTTTCTTATTATTTTCTTGAACATATTTAAAATAAAAAGTATGACTTTTCTTGCCTGAAGTTGGTTCACGTCGGCGTGACAGTCAAACCTGCTGACGTAAAACTGTTGTGTGCTCTGCACGAGGATCAATGAGGCTTTAGTTAGCCAACGCAATGTTCACTTACTAACGTTACATTAGAATGAAATGATGTAACGTGATTAAAACTTTATCAACTCCTCCGCACTATTTCTGCCTGAGTCACGTCAGATAGATTTTTATTGCTAATGGTGGTTGTTGAACAATGAAGACAACAACTCCCATGATCCCCAGCTACTTCATGATGTCATCAAAGTTCATCTGTTATTGTTTTGATGAAGAGACGCCAAGCAGCAGATATTACATGCTGTGTGTTTAAGACCTTTGAATTGGTGTCTTTTATTTTGAAGGCAAAGGTTGCAGCAGGAGGATTAAAAGTCACAGCAGCCGGTCAACATGGAAGAATCCTCACCGCTCCGTCACTCCAGAGCACCTGTTTCTCTACCAGTACGTACAAAACCAACGTCGGACAATATACAGTTGAATTTTGTGAACAATGAATTGGTTGACTTAGATAATAATCTGTAACAATTTTGATAATGGTATTTATTAGACCATGGGATTATTTGTTAACTGAGAAAATAGTTGGCAGATCTGGATGTGGTTGTAAAAGTTCAACATCAGATATAGCTGAGCCATAACATCACAATATTATACATATATTTTGTGTTACAATCAAGCAACTACATCGCATGTAAAATATAAAAATGGAGGTTTAGGGCAATGAACTGAAAACACTTAACATATACAACACAAGTTTTGGTCGATGGTGTTTGTAGTTGATATTATATAATCATATTCATCATAATTTAATTCTACTGAAGGTATGATGCAGTTTACATAGATTGTGCAGTGGGTCATGTTGTTTGCATCTCACAACCTTTTCAACATCCCTGTAAATAGCTCCCATGTTCCATTCAAGTTATCTTCCCTTTAGCAGTAAAGTGAGACTGTCCATAGAGGTCTAGAGTAACCTTGGTCGTATGCATGCATGAACGGCGTTTGTGCTCACTATATCAGGCCCTTCCTGGTGGAGCCCTGCTGTCACTCAGCCTGCTCCGGCCTTCAAGGCCACAGCTGTCCACAATGGGGAGTTCAAGGAGATGAGCCTCGCTGATTTCAAGGGCAAATACCTGGTCCTCTTCTTCTATCCACTGGATTTGTGAGTATTTGTGACGTGCACAAAGACGACAACATGACGGCTCTCCCTACCTCTGATTGAATGCACATTGAGTAATCTAAGATTCTTAAATACCTCGACTGATGACCAGTAGAGTTTTGGTCTGGTAACACAGGCCCTCGCCCTCCTGTCTCTGTTGAATGAAAATGATTCAAATGCTCATCCGTCCTCTGCGGATGAGCAGATTGTGATTGGGTCGGTAAATGTTTCACTCACAGAGCCTTTTATTTCCCTTATTGCAGCACCTTTGTGTGTCCAACGGAGATCATCTCATTCAGCGACAAGGCCAGTGAGTTCCACGACATCAACTGTGAGGTGGTGGGCGTGTCTGTGGACTCTCACTTCACCCACCTGGCATGGATCAACACGCCTCGCAAGGTTCTCTACCTCATTTAAATATTTACAACAAACCCATGGTGCAAAGTTCATCTCTGTTACTTTTTTGTTAAATTCATCCTTTGATGTGTCTTTAGTAAATGACTGCCCTGCGGATACTGTATGTCTGAAACACGTTATGGTCAACAGTATGAGCAGCAGTCGTGTCAGTGTTGATCTAACAGGTGTTGTTTCATGCTGTTTTCTCAGACTGGAGGCTTGGGCCACATCCACATCCCCCTCCTGTCTGACCTCACCAAACAGATCTCTAGAGACTATGGGGTGCTGCTGGAGGGTCCAGGCATTGCACTTAGGTACGTTCATGATGTGCTCTACGTGAGCTATTCACAACTAACATTACAGGACATGGAAACGGCACAATTTTACAAAACGAAGTCCGATTGTATGGATGTCTATGAGAAAATGACTCCACTTCTCACTTGTTTTATTACCTCAGTAAACATTGTGAACATGAGTTTATCCTCTCAATCTCTAGTTTCAAGTTTTCTTCAATACAACATGATGTTCACTTAGTAAATTATGGTCCATTTCGAGACAAATGGACCATAACGCAGAGTATGCTTTAGGGCGGGCTCACTGCTGCCGATACCAGAGCCGTATACGTCACTCCTCTGCATTCCAGATATGGTAACTTCTGTTCACCGGTTGCAAAAAGCCAATATGGCAACAGCCATAATCCAAGATGGCGAAATTGCCAATCTCGAGGCTTCAAAACATCAGTCCACAAACCAATGTGAGACGTCACGATGACTACGTCCACTTCTTATATACAGTCTGTGGATTATTGTGGTTTACTATGAAGGCAAAGCTATGTGAAAATCCTCGAGCACAAATAAGATCCACACGCGGGACCTCTACATGCCCGGGACTTCTACATACCCGCAGATTTTGACGTTGATTTGCCGTCATACTTAACTCACTTTCATCTGCCACTGCTGATGATGGACCTTTAGATAGTCTTGGTATGTACCTATACGGTGTTGGCCACGTATACTTACCGACAGCATTTTGTGAATTTGCACAATGTCACAGTGTATTAATACTCACATCCACGCCGTTGATACTGAAATAGTCTGTTTTTGTCTGTTTTACCTTTATTTACAGTGCATCCGGAAAGTATTCACAGCGCTTCACTTTTTCCACATTTTGTTATGTTACAGCCTTATTCCAAAATGGATTAAATTCATTATTTTCCTCAACATTCTATACACATCAACCCATAATGACAAAGTGAAAACTGTTTTTTGCAAATTTTTGCAAATCTATTAAAAATAAAGAACGAAAACATAACATGTACATAAGTATTCACAGCCTTTGCTCAATACTTTGTTGAAGCACCTTTGGCAGCAATTACAGCCTCAAGTCTTCTTGGGTATGATTCCACAAGCTTGGCACACCTATATTTCTGGGCAGTTTCTCCCATTCTTCTTTGCAGAACCTCTCAAGTTCCATCAGGTTGGATGGGGAGCGTCGGTGCACAGCCATTTTCAGATCTCTCCAGAGATGTTCAATCGGGTTCAAGTCAGGGCTCTGGCTGGGCCACTCGAGGACATTCACAGAGTTGTCCCGAAGCCACTCCTTTGTTATCTTGGCTGTGTGCTTCGGGTCGTTGTCCTGTTGGAAGATGAACCGTCGCCCCAGTCTGAGGTCCAGAGCGCTCTGGAGCATGTTTTCATCGAGGATGTCTCTGTACGTTGCTGCATTCATCTTTCCCTCAATCCTGACTAGTCTCCCAGTTCCTCCCGCTGAAAAACATCCCCACAGCATGATGCTGCCACCACCATGCTTCACTGTAGGGATGGTATTGGCCAGGTGATGAGCAGTGCCTGGTTTCCTCCAGACATGACGCTTGGCATTCAGGCCAAAGAGTTCAATCTTTGTTTCATCAGACCAGAGAATTTTGTTTCTCATGGTCTGAGAGTCCTTCAGGTGCCTTTTTGCAAACTCCAGGCGGGCAGTCATGTGCTTTTACTGAGGAGTGGCCTCCGTCTGGCCACTCTACCAAACAGGCCTGATTTGTGGAGTGCTGCAGAGATGGTTGTCCTTCTGGAAGGTTCTCCTCTCTTCATAGAACAACACTGGAGCTCTGTCAGAGTGACCATCGGGTTCCTGGTCACCTCCCTGACTAAGGCCCTTCTCCCCCGATCGCTCAGTCTGGCTGGGCGGCCAACTCTAGGAAGAGTCCTGGTGGTTCCAAACTTCTTCCATTTCCGGATGATGGAGGCCACTGTGCTCATTGGGACTTTCAATGCTGCAGAAATTTTTCTGTACCCTTCGCCAGATCTGTGCCTCGATACAATTCTGTCTCGGAGGTCTACAGATAATTCCTTGGACTTCATGGCTTGGTTTATGCTCTGATATGCACTGTCAACTGTGGTACCTTATATAGGCAGGTGTGTGCCTTTCTAAATCATGTCCAATCAACTGAATTTAGCACAAGTGGGCTCCAATCAAGTTGTAGAAACATCTCAAGGATGATCAGTGGAAACAGGATGCACCTGAGCTACATTTTGAGTGTCATGGCAAAGGCTGTGAATACTTATGTACATGTTATGTTTTCGTTCTTTATTTTTAATAGATTTGCAAAAAACAGTTTTCACTTTGTCATTATGGGTTGATGTGTATAGAATGTTGAGGAAAATAATGAATTTAATCCATTTTGGAATAAGGCTGTAACATAACAAAATGTGGAAAAAGTGAAGCGCTGTGAATACTTTCTGGATGCACTGTATTTACTGTAGATAACTTCATAACTGTTTTCTAGAATGATGCTTGTTAATTGCTGATTTTCATACGTTATTGTCCTTCAGGGGCCTGTTTCTCATTGATCCAAACGGTTTGGTGAGACACATGAGTGTGAACGACCTTCCAGTCGGTCGTTGTGTTGAAGAGACGCTTCGTTTGGTTAAGGCGTTCCAGTTTGTGGAGACCCACGGTGAGGTGTGTCCGGCCAGCTGGACCCCCAAGTCCCCAACGGTGAGTTCTTTCAACCTCTGATCTGACAAACACTACTGGTATGTCCTTTTCAACCAGTTCAGTACTGAGAATGAAGCGTTGCTGTTCAGTATTCTGGAAGTGGAAGTAGTTTTAGTAGTTTATTCTGTCTGTTTGCTTTTCAGATCAAACCAACCCCAGAAGGATCCAAGGAGTACTTTGAAAAAGTCAACTGAAGAAGAAGTTCACAACTCGTACATCTAGAAATATAGTTTATACATTGTATTTACTCATTTACAGCTGAATGCACTAATAAATCAATTATTTGTAAATGGTAGCACTTTGTTTTGATTGATCCAGATAATGGATGAACTGTATGGTCAATGTGACTGTAAAACACATGAAAGTGCGTAATTTACGGTAAGGACATGTGACATTTAATTATTTTATAATTATATAGCATGTCGAAAAAAATCTTTAAAAAGTCATAGTAAAGTATTATTGAAAAAAGTATGATTTGTTAAAAAATGTAATAAAAAGTCATAGTACTATTACTTCTTTATTGCATTTACAATTACTTTTCTATGACATACAATACTAGGATATTTTTGCTGACGTATATTTTTTTTAGAAATTTTTGACTGACTAAAAATTGGTATTTTTAAATAAATTGTATATATTATACACTAGTACTCTTTTATGGCATAAAATACTATATTTTCATGACATTTGTATAACTCTTTCATAGCATACTATACACAATATTTCTTACGACATACTTGACATAGTATATTATGAAAGTTTCATGGCATTCTAATCTGAAAAGAATATCAAAGTATGGAAACAATATTTTGTCTCGGCTCTCGTCCCAGAGGCGGCTGAGCTGCTTTATCACAAGCCTGTTAATTTACACATTCAAGCATCTTTCTCTCAGTGATTCTTCACCAACTGTCCTTTTCTGTAATAAACAGTTCAGAGTGTGTTGCTTTTAGCCCGGAGTATGACCATCTTCTTCATATTTGTGTAATATTATGCAACTATTATAACGACCGTGCACTTCGCTTTGATTGGTCGGTAGGTGGTGCTTTTTTCTACGAGTTGATCTTCTCTCGAACATAACCTGCTCCACAATAAGTTACCATGGTGATACCTACCAAGGCAAGAAGTGAACCTCTGCAGTCGGGCTGAAAACCCAGTTTAACTCAAATTATCTCGTTAAACCCAAATCCTGCTTCGTAGTGCAGGTCCCCGATGATGATCGAGAGCCTGTGTGTTTAGCTTTCGCTAAGTTCTCATCCACAAGTGTTAATTTCCTTTGACGAAACAGTTGGAAATGTGTAACAAAATCAAAACAGAACGCCATGTTCCTTAATACAATCATCTAGTTTTCACCTTGCATCACTCGGGTGAATTTTGCCGCTGGGTTGTTTGATTATTCACCCCAAACAGATGCTAACTAGCTGTACTGACATTGGGATACGGATACCGCAACCACGTGTTTGAGGCGGTGGCACAGATGGGTGTCAAATGAATACCTGCTGAGGTCAGCGATGACATCAACGTACATTACTATTTTTTAGAATTACTAACGCTGCAGTGTAGAAACTCACTTTAAATTGGCGTTGGAGCTCATTTTCAACAAATCCAACAATGAATGTCTTCGATGTTCGCTATCCATTTACCCGCGTTAACAGGAGCCGTTAGCTCTGTCTACGTGTTGCTTATAAATGGTGTTGCTGACCGGGCATATATGCAACAGTGCTGATCTCTGAGGCCACGCACAATTCAATATCACGACATTTACCCCATTCTAGTATGATGGAGATCTGTGCTGTCTGGACAGCAACCAAAATAATGATTAGAGTATCGTGTGAGTGTAATAAATGCGTAGATTACCCTTTGTGCACTTGGTTAGTATTGTAGTTACAATTTTACTGTTCTATCTCCAAAAGTATGAAAGTCATGAAGACAGTTTTTGCATAATCTTTTATATCTTAACACAAAATAAATAAATTTTACTCCTCACATTTACTGCACCCCTGTTAATGTTTGTGATGGCCTGAACTGTGCCAACATACCATCATATACTATAAGTAATGTAACTCTTTTAACACGTAGATTTTGCTTTGGTGTCTGGCAGCTAGCAGGACACCATTGGTGCATATTTGAACTAAATCCGAGCAAAAGGTTTAAACATGAATTTAAGTAGCATCATCTCTCGAGTGCTTTTGTTCTGAACTATTAAATACCATCATTTTTCTGCATTCAATATTTTTTTATTGCAACCATCATCAAAATTAATTGTGTTTTGTTCTACCTCAGGTGAGGATTTGTGCCCGTAATAACAATGCCCCCACCCACCCATGACATCCCATTCTGCCCACGTACACGGAACATGATGTAATAATTCAGTTCAAAACATTTATCTTCAAGATCAAAACCACACTTAATAACCCCTGTACATAAACATGTTTATTTTCTCTTTTTACAGCAAGTTATTATGCAGGTTCAAAATGTCTAATCAGACATTGGTACACAACATGAGGTGCCAAAATCAACTTCAGTGGGGGGGAAACTAGAAATAAGAAGAAAAAAATAAAAAGGCATTGCCACTTCTCATACAAGTAGGGTACATACTGTATTTACACAAAATGGAGAAAAGCGTTTGAAACACTCCGCAGCACTGTGTGGTTATGAAAACATCTAGTTTTTAAGTGGACATAAACTTCACTTTGTACAGTATGTTTGCGGAAACAATGCAATCGCCTTATTCCTTCTGACATTCACAAATTATGATTTAGGTTAGGCAACTGAAAGAACATGAGGAAAATGGCTTACCAGAAGATGTAGAGCCTTTTAAAGCTTTAAATAATATATAAAATCAAAAGAAGAGAGTCCATAAGCAGGCTTACTAGTCGTCAAAAATGTACCTTTTACATTTTGAGACTGAAAAAAAAAAAAAAAGAAAAGAAAAAAAAACTGACAGCGCTGACTGAAGTGGATTTTGATGAGCAGATGGTTTGGTGAAAACTTCATGCAATTTCAGGCAAGATGTAACAGCGCCACCAGCCCCTTCCCCAAGCACCAAACAAAGAAAAGAAAAAATACATTTTTTTTGTTTGTTTATAACTAAATGATTCATTTAAAAAAAAAAAAAAAAAAAAAAAAAAAAAAAAAACACCCTGTAGTAAATCTGTACAACGAAAATACATTTGGGATCTACATCTAAAGGTACAATGAGGTTATATACACTCCCACCCATCCATATATTATCTTTACAAGTAGACTTCATTCAAACCCAAACATTAAGAAAACCCCAACTAAACGGGGAAATTGGATCACATCCAACATCCATTTAAAAATCGGTTCTTACTGTACCTCGACCGCTGATCAGTCTCTTTGTTCTTGTCTGTACAGTAAACTACAGCAGGACTAAAACCTCCCTCAACATCTGGATGGATTGCTACTGTAATAGGGAATTTAGAATCGTCAAAACGGGGGAATGGTTCTTGCGTGAGATTTTTTTGCAGTGGAAGTAAATCAGAAACAAACGACTGTACTGTGGACTAACGATATTTCGAGTGAGTTCAAGAATACAAAATAGAAATCAGGTCAGAACGTTGGCATGAACCCAACTCTCCAATATTCTGACCCAGTAGAACAAAGGCTTTCAATACACTTAGGCCTCTTCACTGAAGAGAGCTACACTATTCCATCGATAAACATTTATGTTCTCTGGTCTCAGGTGGGACTGGGTCGGAAAAGAGAAGCCACGTCAGCCTTTTAAACGTTGCCCTAATGTCTGTCTGAAAGCAACTGATAACAACAGTACCTTGTGTTTGATATCTCTTCCGCAGATTTGCTCTTGTTCTTAGATGCTGCGTTGAAATTCATTCGGAAAAAAAGGGAAAAAAATACATTGTACAAAGTGAGATTCTCACAATCTCTTCGCAGGAAAGAAAAGTAATAAAGAATGACTTGTGCCTGCCGTCCTTCAGGATACTCGTAGGCAAATCCATTTAGATCCCCGCGTTGCTACTTTGCCTTTTAGTCAATTTTCACGTTTGTGTAGATCTTCCTCACAAAGGCACTTGTTCCCACGTATCCCACGGCACCTGGAAAACAAATGTGGTCGGTCAGTTTCCTTTAGGTGGCTGCAAGTTATCCCTCTACTCTCATGTTGCAGGTGAATCCATCACAGGATAAAATGATTACCGGTGAAGGTATCCAATAAAAAGGTTTGAGCAAAAGAAAGCACATCCTTTGTCCACAAAATGAGCACCAGACCCCCGACAGACCCAGAAGGCATCCTGTAGGAGCTACTGCGGATAGAGGAAGCTCCACAAAAGGAGCGAGGTTCCAGCCTCGACTTATTACTCTTCACGCTGAAGGATTAGTTTGGCTTTCAGCTGCCGAGGGAACGCTGCTTCACTGCACTTGGAGCAGAAGAACCAGTGTGGTTCGCGCACAGATTTGTTCCTACGTGAACTCGTATTATTCATTCCTATTTAGAATTTCCGTCTGTGGCCGGTTGCAGGAGTCATAAAATCTTAATACAACTGAATCTGAATGAATTTCTGCGAGTTGGAATATGTCACTGAAATAAACTAAAAGAAAATGAATATTCTGTTCAGTGTTTGCAAGTTGCTGTCCGGGGGATGAGCCTGCATTGTATATACTGTGCATTTTTGTTGTTTTATCCTCTATATTCTGATATTTAATTTGTCCTACTCTGTTATTTTATTGTATATATTGTGCATTTTTTAATACTTAATATTTTTGGTTACTCTGTTACTTTGCTTCTTGGTATGTCTTGCTGCTGTAACATACAAATTTCCCCCTGGGGATGAATAAAGTACATATCTATCCATCTATCTATCTGACAGGTTAACACCACCTGCTGTGTAATATTCTTACATCTTTCTCCACGACTGTCCCTTTGATAACCTCCCATCCAAATCATGGGCTGCTGCTTCGCTTTAGCATCCGACTTCAGGTCAAACCCTCCCTCCGCTCTCTCCCAGCAGGACGCTGCTCTAAAGACACATCGTTGTTTCAGGTCCTCTGACTGTTAACGCTTACTTTTGTTCTGTCTGTTGCCGTCTGACAACCGTGTGAAGCTCTTCTTTTTAACCTTTGGGAACTCGACAGCCCAAGAGTTGTATTTATCACTTTGGTGAATACACACTCAGGCCACCGTAGGCTCCTCTGTACTCTTTGAAAGGGACTGGTTTTCAGTTGGTTGCAATCTGCAACCTCAGCGCCAGATAGCACTCCATCGTACACACTGGTCCTGAGAGATATGGATACTTAAACGTCTCTGCATGAGGCCCACTCTTTAGGAAATGGCAACAACTTATTCAAGAGCTCTGCCTCTTTGCTAATTAGTCACATTTATTTGTTTCACATTCACTAGAAACTCTACTGAATGACGTCTAATGAATTTCTGACAGTATACTCCAAGTATCTGGTACTGCAACTACGCATTTTTTTCATGAAGCCGTGAGTCTCTTTAGTTCAGGATGGTCCTACAGCATTCAAACAAGTAGCAGCGGGACTCACCACACATGATTCCTAGGGAAGTGCTGAACACGGCCATGTAGCCAAAGTAGAAGGACGTTTGGAACAGGCCGTACATCCTGAAATGAATGCAGCATGTCAGCAAAGCAATAGAGTTCTATATTCTATGAGTTTTAGATTTGTTGCCCATTATGAGACTTGTGTAGGTATGTGGTTAACAAAGTCTAAAAACTTACTTAGTTTTGAAGAAGTAGTAGTAAAAGGAGTACATGTAAACATAAACAGCAGTGGATGCTGCAGAGAGGAAGCTGGTCCACTGCCTAGAACAGAGAAGGTGAATCAACAGAGATTTTACCAGAAGCATAAGTCACTTTTTGAATCATTAATAACTCTGAATGTTTAGGGACTGAGGCAGGTGAACAGAGACAAAGAGACTCTTTTACACCACTAAGCTATACGGCCTTCTTCACACAGGAAGTATTCCCAGGGGACCATGTCAGGTCTGTTCAGTGTTTGCAAGTTGCTGTCCGGGGGATGAGCCTGCA